AAGCAATGTACTGCAGTCACACAATCAATCAATCAGTAGCTGAACTGGGTTCCACACAGTCACCAAAACAAAACAAAAAAGAGATGCAAAAACAAGAAAACGCAAAATAAAGAGCAAAACAGACCTCAGCGTAACACTTAAAACGGATGTGTGGCACTCAAATCGGAAGCATAACACTCAAAACGGAGAACGTTCAGCTTCTGAAAAAAGTTCGCAAAACTTCAGTGTTTGGGTTCCAAGTTGCTTGAGTACCAAGGTGTTTGAGAACCAAGATACCACTGTACATGACTGAGAAGGAGAAGTGAGATATAAAGAGGGCCAACCCACCCATGAGGCAAAGTGAGGTGATCGCCTCAGGTGGCAGGATCCATAGGGTCAGCAGATCCCAATGTAGATATTTAGTCCCCTCTTGTTCCTGATGTAGATCTTCCCTCATCCCTTCTTCCCTGGCAGGGAGGGAGGTGCCATTTTGAGGTCCTCCTCAGTCGCCAAAATGTCTTGGGCCGGCCGTGGATATAAATGTGGTAATAGTACTAATAATCACAGGGCACAAGGACCAGTTGACCTGGCTTTACAATGATGAATGAAATGTATCAGACTTTAAGTTGCAGCACCCCTCCAACAGCCAAGGTGGGAGTCTTATTGTGGCCCTGCTTACCTGAAGGCTGAATCTGGGCCCTTTTCTATGATACATAATTCTCTCCATCACTCAGCTGACATGTGGACACTGAGGTCCAGCTCCGAGGGCCTTCTGGCTGCTCCCTCACTGTGAGATTATAGGGAACCAGGCAGAGGGCAGTAGTGGCGCCCGCCCTGTGGAATGCCCTCCCATCAGATGTCAAGGAGATGAGTAACTATACAACTTTTAGAAGGCATCTGAAGGCATCCCGGTATTGGGAAGTTGTTAATGTTTGATGTTTTATTGTGTTTTTATATATGCTGGAAGCTGCTCAGAGTGGCTGGGGCAACGCCAGTCAGATGGATGGGGTACAAATATTATTATTATTATTATTATTATTATTATTATTATTATTATTATTACTACTACTACTCTCATTTGTTGAGTTAACAAATAGTTCAATGTGTGTGTTTTTTAAAAGAAAATAGCAAACCATTAAGTGGAAGAGGCAGGCGTGTGATGCAACACCTCAGGTAGTATCCTCGTGGCATCATAGAGCACTAAGCTGACATCACAGAGCACCCAGCTTTGCTCCCATGGCAACTAGCTGGACCTAAATACTCAAAATCTGCCTGGGAGATAGCAGGATTGATTTGCCTTGCAGCTGAGCACCATCAACTTGAAATCCTCTACCCACCAAGGCAAGCAAACTCAAAAGTACTGTTGAGAGAGGTTGAAAAGAGATAACTGTTTATTCAGGAACCAAGTATCGCAGCAAGGATTGGGTGAGCGCACGGGCGAGTCAAGTTGTGAATGTGACAAGATATTCGGAGCCACAAAATCTCCAAACTCGTTTACGTTAATTGACAGACGTAGACACGTGTGGACAATAGAGACCAAGAGAGAAAGACAAAAGCAACACCCCCCGTTGACTTTGGAACCGACAGAACTATCCACCCAGAAACAAGAAGAAGAAGGGGGTCAAACAGAAGCCAGTTTCTGAGCAATATGATGGAGTCAAAAGAATTTGCAGATGTTCCTTCAGCTGATGCATCTGAAACAGGCTCAACCAATGGAGACTCAGCTCCAGAAGACACTGAAGAATCTGATGTTTCCCCAAACATGCAATCCTCGGGTTCCTCTGAGGACCCTTCTTCCCTGGATCCTTCCTTGCAGAGAGGCAGAAGAACTCCTGGGGCAAGGACTGCTTCCGACCGCAATCCAACGAGAGCCTCTGTGCCCAAGCCACCCACCACCCATCTTTCCTTGCTGATATTTACAGCCGTGGCCACCTGCCGGAGAAAGACTGGCCTTTCCCTGCAATCGCTCCAGAAGACCGTGACCGACATGGGCTATGACATGGAGGAGAAGAAGCACTACTTCATGAGGTCCATCAACAACATGGTGTCCAAAGGGCAACTCTGGCAAGTGAAAGGGAAGGGAGCCACAGGCTTCTTCAAGGTCAACCCCAACATCGTCAAGAAGTACCAGCCCAAGATGAGAGGCCGGAAGGCCAAGGAAGCCGCCAAGAAAAAAGGCAGCCAAGCCACGTCCAGGAGTGGCAGGAACAAGAAGCAAGGGAAGGCAGACTCCGGCCGAGGCGCAAAGAGAAGCAGGGCTCTCTCTCTCCCAGCTGCCCAGAATCAGGTCAAAGTGTGAAGGGTGCTTGCTGTGTCCTCCAGAGTGACTTCCGCATCCTTATGACGAATAAAGCAAGCCCTGTATTTAAAATTCATTGGTGTCTGTAATTTTTCCCATTCCTCAAAAAATCAAAGTAACATATAAGTGGAGAAGGGAGAGGACAAAACTAAAAAACAGTGTGGGGGTGGGTGAATTGTTTTTTTCCAGTCTGTAGGTCCCATCATCATCATTTAAATTTGTATACCGCCCTATAGCCGCAGGTCCCAGGGCAGTTTGTGGGATATAATCCAAACACAGAAACACGAAACGCACAGTCAAAAGATAAACAAAAACCCAGTAACACTGCCAACACATTTTAAAAGGCATCGGATGTTCATTGGCCAAAGGTCCGGTTAAAAAGGAACGTTTTTGTCTGGCCCTCGAAGGCTTATAATGAAAGCGCCAGGTGATTTTTTTTTAACCCTTTACAAAGTATTTGAAGACACAACAAAGCGAACTGGACTCCTTGGCTGGTTTTGAATAAACATTCACAAGCTTTTTATTGATAATAATCAGCTAAATAGTTTGAGGATCTATACAACTGTGTAACATGCAGAAAACACCATTTCTAGAGAAATCAAAGACTGGAACTGAGGGAAGTCGGGGGTGGGGTGGGTGGGTTCTGTGGGGGAAGGATGATATGTTTCTGGATAATATGTTTTGTTTTAATTTTGAATAAAAAGTTATTTTTAAAAAAGGAACATTTTTGTCTGCCCCTCGAAGGCTTATAATGAAAGCGCCAGGTGAACCAGGTGATACCCTGCCCATCTGGCTGGGTTTCCCTAGCCACTCTGGGCGGCTTCCAACAGAATATTAAAATATTATAGTCTATTAAACATTAAAAGCTTCCCTAAACAGGGCTGCCTTCAGATGTCTTCTAAAAGTCTGGTAGTTGTTCTTCTCTTTGACATCTGATGGGAGGGCGTTCCACAGGGCGGGCGCCACTGCCAAGAAGGCCCTCTGCCTGCTTCCCTGTAACTTGGCTTCTTGCAGCGAGGGAACCGCCAGAATGCCCCTGGCACTGGACCTCAGTGTTGTTACGCTCCAGATCTGTCATGGACGAGGCCTCCGTTTTCACCAACAATTTATTCACCATGTGGCTGTCGTCGTTTTTCCTTGGTGGATGTTTTTTCATTGTACTTATTCTTTACTGTGAAATCACTTCAAGGAAGGCTTTCATGAATGAGAAGGGGGGAAATGCTAGTCAATCCCCTTTCTGCATGAATCTGCAATTTTGGCGGCGGGTGTGCGGGTGTTAATCTCAAAATGTGTATTTAAGATGTACTTTAATAGATTATCCACAGGCATCGTTTACCTCAGAATGCATAATTTAAATGTGCTTTGCACATTTTTAATTGCCAGTAACTGCACTGCATTGAGATCTGGTGGTTAGCAAAGTACTTATCTGCACATCAGTCCAAAAGGTGTGGGTCGGACCATTTCATGCAGGAATTTGCAGAGTTTGGATTCCTCAAGCATCCCTAAGGGCAGAACCATCTACCACATCAGAGGAGCTGGGAGCCACTAGTGTACAGTCGTATCTCGGAAGTCAAACGCCTTGCGAATCGAATGTTTCGGCTCCCGAACGCCACAAACCCGGAAGTGAGTGTTCCGGTCTGCGAACGCTCTTTGGAACCCGAATGTCTGACGCGGCTTCCATGGCTTCTGATTGGCTGCAGGAGCTTCCTGCAGCCAATCTGAAGCTGCGCCTTGGTTCCCGAACGTTTTGGAAGTCGAACAGACTTCTGGAACGGATTCCCATGAGCCTCCATGGTGGCTGGAGGGGACGGGGAAACGTTCTAAAATGGCGCTGTGCATCTGGGTGAGATAGGAGGCACAGCTTCAGGCCACTACTGCCACTCACGGGAAAGACTGCGAGCAGCCATTATATTAGGACTTGCAGCTTTGTAAAAAAAAATGTGGCTACAAGAGGAAAGGATGGGTGTACGTTCACAATACGGGCACGACTTCCCGTTAGCCTCATATCTTAGGAATTTGTCCGTACCCACCTATCGGCATTTATTTACCAAAGCTAGATTAAATGTGTTTCCACTGGAAGTTCTAAACGGTAAACTGAGAGGCATCCCTTATCAGAACAGGCTTTGTTGGTGTTCTCAGGACGTTGATTGCATGAACCATATCCTACTGCATTGTGGGCAGTATGAGCAAGCAAGGGATCAGCTGATCAAACCCTTACTCGCAAATTTGCCAGGAAAATCTGAAGCCTCCCATATTAAAACCCTTCTGGAGGATAGGTCAAACGATATTACGCTGACCGTGGCAAAGTTTCTTTTGGAGGTTGCAAGAAACAGAGACCATCGTGCTCTAGACACGGCAAAATGACTACCTCGGTCTCTTTCGCCTGTTGTTTGGTTGTCTCAACTGTACAGTGGTACCTCGGGTTGAGTAATTAATTCATTCTGGAGGTCTGTTCTTAACCTGAAACTGTTCTTAACCTGAAGCACCACTTTAGCTAATGGGGCCTCCTGCTGCTGCCACGCTGCCCGAGCACGATTTCTGTTCTCATCCTGAAGCAAAGTTCTTAACCCGAGGTAGTATTTCTGGGTTAGCGGAGTCTGTAACCTGAAGCGTATGTAACCCGAGGTACCACTGTATCTTGTTTTGAAACTGTTTTGTGCGTCTATGGACCGCAATAAAGATACACACACACACACACACACACACACACACCCCCGGTTGCTTCAGACCTCCATCTCAAAAGACTGAGAAGAAGCTGCCCTTTCTCGTGTCTTTGGACAAGATGTTAACCATCTCAAATAAGAGGCACAAAAACAGAGGCACTTCAAATACGACACTTTATTCTTTTTCCTCCTTACACACAGCGTCAGCTATGGGAACCTGTCATCAGCATAGGACTCTGCAAGTCAGACGGCTTAGATGTCATCCTCTTGGTCTTCTTCTTCCTCCTCTTTCTGCTCTTCCTCTTTTTCTTCTTGGGTACTTGCTTCGGCTTGAGATCTGGCAAGGCCTTCCCCTTCCCTTTCCCCTTCCCCTTCCCCCTTCTCCTCCTCTTCTGGCTCCTCCTCCTCAGCAACCTCATCATCATCCGGCTGATGGCGTAGCAGCCCGTGAGCCCTCGGCCAGTCAGCTTCCGCAAAACACCTTTGGCCACCAAGGCCCTCAAGACCCTCTTGAAGTAGCTCTTCTTCTTCTCGAGGTCATATCCGGTGGCCGCCACACTCTTCTTGAGGGCTTGCAGGGAGACGCCGTGACGTTTCTCTCCCGAGGCCACCACCTGGAAAATGAGCTTGGAGACGCCGCGCTTCGGAAAGAGGAATTTCCAAGGGAAGGAAGGTTTGTGGAGCTCTCTGCCTTTCGTTTTGGACTTGGAGGTAGCCTTCAGGTGTTCGCCGGAACATGACGGCTGAGGCTCCCTTAAGGCCTGGTCTTCCTGATGTGCCGGGGGGTCAAAGATGTCCGCCGATATCTTCTCCTCTGAGCACTCCTCATTATTAACCAAGAAATCAATCTGCATTTCGCCTAAGGCACTCATCTTCTCCTTAAGCCTGGCTTGTGTTGGTACATCCCTACGCTACCTGCCTCGCAGCTGAGGAAGATGTTGGGTGGTGATATCCTGTGCAAGGCAGATATGACAAAGCCATCCTGCTTTGCCAGAGGTTATGAGGTTACAGGGGAGGGACTTGGACTAAATGGTCGCCATGGAAACAGCTTGGTGCATTGTGGGATCACAAGCCCCCTGTGATGCTGCTCCCATGTGATGACATCATCAACAAGTGCACATCTCTAGTCAATGGTCCAGCAACATCCCTATCCTGTTGCAGACCAGAATATTTATTTCATTCAGACACCAGTGATGTCCCCCACTGTGACCAAGGGCAGTAGGCCCATTTAGGCTGTGCAAGACAGGTATCAGGCTCCAGGCACTTGGCTTCCTCCCCCCCCCCTTTCGCTGCAGGACAAAGTGAAAAGAGTCCCTGACCATTTAAAGCAGGCATAGGCAAACACGGCCCTCCAGATGTGTTGGGACTACAACTCCCATCATCCCTTACCACTGGTCCTGTTAGCTAGGGATGACTGGAGTTGTAGTTCCAAAACATCTGGAGGGCTGAGTTTGCCTATGCCTGATTTAAAGAGTCTTTAATGATAACACCAAAGGAACAAAGCATCCATTCTCAGAATTGAAGGTGTTTCCCAATTCCCAGCTGGTGGGAAGTTTGGGAGATGGAGAAAATCTGATTCCCATTCTTTTGAGGGGAAATATCAATTTGAAAGAATTAAGTTTACCAAGATTGCTATCATAGTAGCAGGGAACTTGAGCTGACCTACAAAAAGACTTACAATCCATTTTCTCTCTTTGAATTTTATAAGAGACATAAAGTCCAGAAGGAGCGATATACTTTATTCTGGAACTTTAAAGTCCCCTCAGAAATTTGCTCCTGGGGCCACGGACCACCTGCACCCCATGCTACACCACTGCATGGAACACACAGCTCCATCACCCCCAACACCACTCCCCACTCATAGCCCATTCACTGAGTATCCACCCTAACTAGTTTGCAAGGACATCAGGTGACTTCCACTATTTACAGAGCATCCATTCTCATTTGTTTGCAGGAGATTAGGCAATGTTGCGTCAAGCAGATGTTATCACACACTTGCCGACACATTTTCACCGTCACTTTCCTAACCGCATAAAGTCCAAGCTTTGGGTTTGTCGCAAAAGAGCTCCAGATAAATGCTAACATTTGCCAGCCTGTGGTTGAATCTCACCCAGAAATATCAACTGTCTGGAAGTGACCTCAGCCTGTGTAATGGTGGGGCTGGCCCTGTAGTCATGGCATGTAAGGCAGGAATTTCAAAATGATTGCAAGGATTTGGTCAACAGAAGAAGAAGAAATTCATACATTCAATACCCGTGACTGATATATAACGCTGACGTGTGGGTTTTGTTTCACCCACATTTTCATATAAGGTGTGTACTTCGGATCGCCTCACTTTTAAAAGACGACAATAGAAAATACAAAAAAGGGTGTGGCTGAAAGGGGGAAAAGCAACTTCTGAAATACAGACACTGGGTGTGGGGTATGTGGAAGTAATGATTTCACATTTTCACAAACCACTCACATGCAAATGGAAGCACTACTACTTACTCTGAGGTCTTCTGGTCCCTTTTCTGCCTACAATTTTAAAAAGGAAGAAAACTGGGGTTAGGTCCAATTTGGCAACAGAAAATCTTTAATTTAGTATTACTTAGGGCTGTACCAAAATAACAACCGTCCTATATACTCTAGCTCAGCCTTTCTCAACCTGTGGGTCCCCAGATGTTGTTGAACTACAACTCCCATCACCCCTAGCTAGCAAGGCCAGAGCTCAGGGATGATGGGAATTGTAGTCCAACAACATCTGGGGACCCACAGGTTGAGAACCGCTGCTCTAGCTGAACATTTTCTGGACCTGTCCTTGGTAAATCACTGTCGGATTTTAAACCCATTTTTGCCTTTTGGGAGACTGTGACCATGTTTGCAGGTCACATGGAAGTATGGTGTAGGGCTGGTGAACAACTAGCCCTCAGGTTAATTGAATTTGGCCGTCGGGCTGTTTTTTACATGGGTGGCACTGGGGACCTCAACCCGATATATAACCCAGCGTGGCCAATGGTCAGGAATGATGGAAGTTCCCATTCAGCAACATCAGGGGAACCAAGGTTACCCTATGGTAAGCAGTATCCCTGCTGCCTTAAACTGCCTTGCCATTGCCGCCCCTTCATGATTTCCCAGGGTTCTAGAATGCACAGGGAATTCCCATGATATCACCGTCTGGCCTCTTTAATAGCAGGAGGTTCAGCTGCAAAATGGCCTTTGCTGCGAGCTCGGGAGAAGAAGGGTCAAGGACTGGCAAGTCACTGACCAGTGTACACTGGAGTGGCAGAGAAGTGGGGCAGTAGCCTGACTCGGGAGAGGCGGTCAGTGATTTGTGGGGAACTGTACCAGCCAGGAGGCAAGATTCAGAGGGAGGAGAAGCTTCAGAGCTGGAGGGTGGAGCCACAGGATGGGTCAGAAGAAGAAGAGGAAGAGGCAGGTCAGGCAAGTGAAGGCCTGGGTGCTTCCCCACCCTCTCTTGCAGCACTATCCCTCAGCACTAGGAGGGGACTGAAAAGGGAAGTTTCCACACAGGCATAGTCTCCAGCTGTGTGAATGTAGCCCATTGGTGGAAGATACAGAAAACCCCAATTTCTCCCCTCCCACACCCCCTTTGAACTATCGTGAAATGCCTTATAGACACAGAACTACCAAAAGAAAATAAAAGACTGTTTATGTATGCCACGACAGCAGCAAGGATGCTCCTAGCTCAGGGATGGAAAGAAGAAGAAGTACCGACCAGAGAAGAGTGGCAGACCAAGCTGATGAAATATGCAGAGGTGGCAAGACTGACGGGAAAGATCAGAAACCAGGAAGACTGAGTATTTTCAAAAGACTGGAATGACTTTCTAACATATTTGAGAGATCACTGGAAACAGTTCAAATCATTGGCAGGAAGACAGTGACACTCGTAATGTAACATTGGGTAGCATGATTATATAACAGATAGAATACAGTAAAGTATGCAGGAATAAAATTTAGAATTGGAACCCATGGAGAGAAGGAAGGAGGTCTCAAGGTTCAAAAGAACCTTTTTTTTTCTTTTTAATGTGTGAAAATGTTGTGTTTATGGTGTGTACCTTTTTTGTAATGTACTACAGTAGCACCTCAGGTTACGTTAGCCTCGGTAACGTAAACTTCAGGTTGCGAAAGCGGCAAACCCGGAAGTGTTTCGCTGCGTGTGCATGTGCAAAAGTGGTCTACTGCTGCGCGCATGCATATAACAGTGATCCTCAGGTTGTGAAAACCTCGGAATCCGGCCAGACCTCTAGAACGGATCCCATTCACACCGGAGGTACCACTGTATTCTGAAATGCCCACGGGAGGCTGTGGTCGTCCCTCAGACTCAGACTTACACGCCTTCCCGTCGGCAGCACATGATGTAGGCCAGGAGGAGAGCGAGGAGGAGCGCCAGGAAGAAAGGGAGGAGGAAAGTGAGCAGGAAGTCGCTGAAGAACTCCCTGTCAGGGGCGTCATCCGGAGGATTGAATTCGCTGCCTTCCTCTAGCACTCCGTCTCCATAGATGGTCACCACTTCCGTGGTGTTTATATTGGTGAGGTCTATCTGAGGAGCGGAAAAAAGGGGGTTGGAAGGACGGAGGGGGAGTGAGCATCTCTGGGATGGCCCAGCGCATGCCACCACCCACTTTCTCCAGCGTCCCCTCTCACCAAGGTGAGGTTGCACCAGTCAATCTGGAACCGAGGGCTGAAGGTGTCGTAGCAGGTGAGGGCCGGCTGTTGCTGCAGCTTGCACCGGTTGCGGTTGGCAGGGGACTTGACCTTGGTTAAGCACTCGTTGAATGGCTCCTTGGAGCCCACCTTGATGAACACCCTGCGAGAAAGAGAGAAGGCCACCGAGACCATATAACACCGGTCCTGAAAGACCTACATTGGCTCCCAGTACATTTCCAAGCACAATTCCAAGTGTTGGTGCTGACCTTTAAAGCCCTAAACAGCCTCAGCCCAGTATACCTGAAGGAGCGTCCCCACCCCCACCCAGACACTGAGGTCCAGCGCCGGGGGGGGGGCCTTCTGGAGGTTCCCTCACTGCGAGAAGCAAAGCTACAGGGAACCAGGCAGAGGGCCTTCTCGGTACTGGCGCCCACCCTGTGGAACGCCCTTCCACCAGATGTCAAGGAACTAAACAACTACCTGACATTTAGAAGACATCTGAAGGCAGCCCTGTTCAGGGAAGTTTTTAATGTGTGACATTTTAATGGAGCCCACCTTAATGAACACCCTGCGAGAAGGAGAGAAGGCCGCCGAGACCATATAACACCAGTCCTGAAAGACCTACATTGGCTCCCAGTACATTTCCAAGCACAATTCCAAGTGTTGGTGCTGACCTTTAAAGCCCTAAATGGCCTCGGTCTCAGAGCTGGACCTCAGTGAATGATGGGGGGTGGAGATGCTCCTTCAGGTATACTGGGCCGAGGCCAAAGGAAAGCAGAGCGATATGTTTGGCACCAGCTGGGCTGCAGGAGTGGCTGGAAGGAGGCATAAAAGACACCATCCGACTGTCTTAGGGACTCCACTCTGGATTTGTGTAGAGTTTACTCCTAAGCCTTTTATTCTCCTGAAATATCCCGCAAGGCAGCGGAAGTTTAGAGTCAGAGTTTTCCTTCTCCTAGACAGGCTACCTTCCCTGGTGGATGAGCCCCATCTGCCCCTCACTTCCCTCTACAGCTCATGCAGACACTGCCTTCTTGACCATTGAACCCACACTTGGTCTTGTCTGCTCAATCCGCTGGAGCCTGTCTTCGCATGCAGGGGAAAGTCCTTATCTCACGTGGGATCTGAGAACCAGACTGACACCTTTGATATTGGGCAATACAGAAGAGGCTTTCAATGAGCAGCTTTCCCATCTGCAGTGCTAGCAAGCCAGAAAACGTGTACAGTTGAGCCTTGCTGGTCAACAGATAAATACTACTTTTCCTGTTATTTGGCCTCCCAATTTACAGTTTTTGAGGGCAGTGGAATAACCAAGTGGGGCCCCTCTGCAATCTTCACATCTGTCAGGCATGGAGAGTCCGCCTCCCCTCTGGTAACTTCACAGATAAAAATTAACAGGCAGTTTATATCTTAGACCATGGGTGGCTCTGTGGTCTAAACCACAGAGCCTAGGGCTTGCCGATCAGAAGGTCGGCAGTTCGAATCCCCGTGACGGGGTGAGCTCCCGTTGCTTGGTCCCTGCTCCTGCCAACCTAGCAGTTTGAA